CCAGTAGCACCTGGACCTGCATGGAGCCTTCCTGCTCTGGGTCCCACTCAAAACTAGCAACTTTCCATGTCACTTGGTAAGCTGGCCAGAGCATCACACCCAAATGAGGACTGTGTTGCCTCCAAAATGCTGAGGGGCTCACTATGCGCTGTGTCTCCTTTCTGTCTTGTTTTAGATTTTATTTCTCTGACGCAGCGAGACAGTGCACGCAAGCATGTGTGTCAGTCGGGGAGCAGCAGAGGGGAGGGCAAGAGTCTCCAGCTGACTCCCAACTCGGTGTGGAGCACGACATGGGGCTCAACCTCATGACCATGAGATCAAACCTGGGTGCTTAGCAGACTGAGCCACCCAGGAACCCCAGCTGTGCCTTCTTTCTCATTGTAAGAAGAACCTATCCTTCACCATAAAACAGATACTTCAGGGAGCCCCACTCCACACTGGCTCCCTAGAAATTTCCACGAGAAGCAAAGTCCCTAACTTCTGTTGACATCTTTCCACTGCATTCCGAGTAGCTCCTGCTTCTTACTCACTTGACCCGTCCATGTGGGACCCCCTAGGTAGTAGGCCAGCATGCTATCCTGGGATGGGAAAGACAGTTGGGGCCCTGGGATATACAGCAGGACCCAGGGCTGCAGAGCTGCAATCCCCAAGCTGGGATGGCGGCTGAAAGCACGCTGGTCTGCTGGTCCTCCCTGGCAGCATGGAAAGACAGCATTTGCCACATGGACCACCGCACAGCAGGTTCCAGAGGCCATGTTCATCCATGCAAGCACCTGAGCAGCGGCTGGAGTTAGAGTGCCATGTGTAAGCTGAAGACAGCCCCTCCTGGTTCTGCACGTCGGGTGCGTGAGCCCAGGGCCAGCGATGCAGGGCTCCCCGTCCACACACCCTTCCAGTCCTCGCTGGGGGCATGGACCTCCAAAATCCCTCCAAGAAGGGTTTACTCTCCTAGGCCATCCAGAGGCTCCTGCTTGGCCTCGGCCAGCAGAAAAGCCCTCACCACACAGGTCAGGGAAACCGTGTGTGATTCCACCAGTGGCTCAATGATGTGTTCCAGGACTGGGAAAATAGCCCTGGGATAGGTCCAGGCCTACTAGGCCCACCGTGAGCCTGTGAGGCGGACCTGAGCCAAAACTCCACTGATCCCGTAACCCCTGGAAGCCCCTACTCTGGTCTGCTGGAATCAGTGTCCAAGGGTCCCGCGAAGTCTGAGGGCTTCCTGCTCCCCAATGCACAGCCACCCTGGTTTGATGCCACAATTTCCGTGGGAGAAGGCTGGGAAAAAGAACAAAGGTGTAAGCCTCTACCAGCAAACTGGGGTCCTTCCAGCTTCCCCCTCATTCAAGGGGTTTCAGACCTGCAAACTCAGTCTTCAAGTCTGGGAGCTGATTCAGGGGCCAGCACCACTTTTTCATCCAAATTATAGGCTTGCTCGCTCGGCCTAGCCCGAGGAAGAACCGGGTTGACTGCCCGTCTACTTCTCCTCCAGGGGCACAGATGTCTGGGAGTCAGACCATTCTGATTATGGCTCTGGCTCTGCTGTCCGTTATGGTGATCATCCCGCTTGTCTTCAGTGGACAAGGGCCAGCATCTGGCCCCACCACCTCAGGATCTAGTTATGCCTGCTGCAGAGCCCTCTAGGTGGAAAGACACAGAATACCAGGGATCTCTGAAAACAGGTGTGAAGTTGGGCCTTGAAACCCAATAGACTGGAAGTTCCCTTAACAAGACCGCGCTTGGATCACCAACATCACCCGCTGGTGCTGCGAGGCCCCACCTCCATCTGGTCACCACGGAAGGGGGCATGCTGAGCTGAAGGCAGGAAATGGGAGCAGACGCCTCACCCAAGCTGGGACACACACCCCAGCCCCCTCCTAAGGCTATCCAGAAAATCCCAAGAGAGAAAGAAAACAGCAGCCCAGAAAACAAAACAGGCTACCCAAAAAGGAACACTTAAAGATTAAATAAATCTTAGAAATTAAAAAGATCACAAAAACGGAAGGGTAGGAGGAAGACAGAACTCAAAAAACAGTAGAACAAACAAGGAGAGAATGGGACGCCATCAAAGATCAAAACAGGATGGCCAGTAACCAGACGACGAGAGTTCGAGAAGGAACACACTTTAAAAGGGAAAGGCAGAACACATCTCATGCTCACTGAACACCGGAGCCAACGACCCCCATGAGCCAGGAGGCCCCCACAAGCCAGGAGGCCCGTACGAGGAGGGCCCTTGGGCAGCTCTGTGGGAGCTCTCCGTGGAGCTGTGGCACGTGTGGCCTGTGCACACCCCTCCGGCTCGGGCTTCCGCAGGTCAGTCCTCCCTGCGTTTTTGCCATCCTGCTACTTTGCCCATTTGAAAACTCTTAAAGTGGTGCTCCGCTGTCCACGTCTACGTGCAACTTGGTTTTGTTTTATAACCCGCCTTTGGGGTGGATCCAAGTTGGTTTGTGCAGCTCCACAGGAATCCTCGCATTGCGTCTGAATCAGCAGTGATGTGGGAAACAAAGGCAGAAGAACAGGCAGGCGAAGTTAACTGTCCTTCTCACCTGCAGCCTGCTGGCAGACCCCTGAGGCGGGCAGCCTATCCCGCTCCTCCAGGAAGCTCCCTTGTTACAAGGAGAACCACCCTGGCTTGACAAAGCAAGGGCTCCGGTATTCTGTGCCTTCCTCAGCAGACAAAGACCCTTCTGGAAACTCCCTCGTCTTTACTTCCCCCACCCCCAAAGTATAGAACCCTCTGCTCGTCATAACCCCTGGCAGCAGGTGGCAGCAGGTGGCAGCAGGCGGCAGCAGCTCTCTCTGCCCACAGGTCCTGTGCCCAGGCTTTGATGAAATGACCACCATGCGCTGAAGGCGTCTCAAGAACTCTTCCTTGGCTGGCGGCTCTGGCCGACCTCCATTCAAACACTGCAGAGTCGTGACTCATCGCCGCATGCCCTTGGGGGCCGAGTGACTACGGCTGCCTCGGCACGTGTGCCCCTGCACATACACAGGGCTTGGTCATGGGGTCTGTGCACCTTCGGCTTTGATAGGTCCTGCTGGTGGCCGAGCCAAGTTCTGTCAGTGATGGTGACACGAGACTTCTCATCCCGACCCACACCCTGTCCAGCCATCGGTGTTATCCCACACCTACACGTGTTGGTTTAATCTACCTTTCTCTACTTACTGGGGTGCCAGTACCTCCCTTTTGTAGGCTGGGCTCACCTGCTTAAAGACAAGGCTGGGGGCCCTGGCCCTCCCCGTGCCCCTTCCCGGTGGCTTGGTAGAATGCCGCCGGCAGCTTCTGATGCAGCCATGGAGCCAACATGGGGCCCTGGGCCGTAAGCCAGAGCACAGCCCGCAACCTGCCCAGGACGCCGACCTTCCTCTGCACTTCCGTGTGGGGAAGCAACCCCAGGATCGGTGGACCTCTGCGACAGCAGCCGGCCCTCAGTCAACAGCCTGCAGCCATCTCTCTACTGAGTTCTGTCCTGCGAGCTCTCTGCCTAGCTGGGTATACCTCCCTGGGTGGGAACATGAGTGCGTGTTACAAGATTCTTCTCCTCTCCTCAGGCCAGCTTCTCACTTTGCCTTTTGTTAAAGGAACATTTCTAAACTGGCAGATTGGTCTCTGAAAGGGTTAACCAACAGCAGTGTGTGACAATGCCGATTCACTACCCTCCAGCTGGTGCGTCTTCTTCCCTAGATTCTTACTGTTTAATGCCGACGTAGCCCTCTAGCGGAGGGCTGGGGCTGGGCTGGCTCCGGAAGGCTGTCTGGCCAGCTCTGCAAGGCCATGTGGCCTCCAAGGTCCAGCTCAGGCCAGGGTCCCAGGGTAGGTTCTCTGCATGAGGCCACAGGTGAGGGAAGATGGACGGCAGGTGGGGTGGCAGGCGTTCAGAGACTAGGCCTGGAAGTGACCTACGTCACTCCTGCCCACCACTCAGTCCCATGATGTCCCTGGCCCCACGATGGCACAAAAGGGTGGAAACTGCCCAGCTATGTTCCCAGGATGGAAACTCACAGAAATCTGAGGACCTCCCACCTCGGCCGCCACAGGTACCCCTCCTAAGGGTAAGATCGGGGGCCCTGTCCCCTGCAGCGCTAGCCCTTTACCAAGCAGGCACTCGGGACAGAATATCCCAAAAGAGCCACAGGTGCTTAACCGCAGAGTGGGGTCATGTGGGGCCATGCAGCTCTGACGTGAGGCTCGGTGCCTACGCTCAGGGCCCATAGCGAGAGCTGGCCACCTGGTCCGACCTCTCAGGCAGCCCTCATAAGCACGAAGTGCCTCTCAGACAGAACGCAGCTTAGGGTCAGTGCCGCGCTGGACAAGCGGGGCTATCCAGGACCTTCTGAGGTCTGTTTCTTCACAGTGGCACCAGGTGCCACTCAGCTTTTTGCCCTCGCTGTGCTGTATGCGCAGGGAGCACCTGCAGCCCCGGGACACAGGAGCACACGAGAGGCAGGCTGCCGACGCGGGCGGGAGGCCCGGCCCTTTCTGACAAAGTCCTTCTGGAAGGAGATGTGGAATCTTGACAGCGCCACTCTTCCCACTAAACGTGTCTGCTCTAACAAAGCTAGTCTTCGTGGGCAAAGGTACTTACGCTACGAGGTCGTGGGTTTGTTATCACGCTTTTCAAATGAACAGCTCGTGATTTTTCAATGCCTCAGTTTTTACAAAAACACGGCAGGACTGGCATACGCACTCACATAAACAACAGCCCCTTGGGGTCCCTGATGTTTGAAAGGAGGGGGGTCCCCGGTTTGGGAGTGGCTGTTGTGGCAGCAAAAGTGGCAGCTCCTGGAGCCAGAGCCTCAGCTCAAACCCTGCGGCTACAGGGCTGTGCAGAACTGCACACTTTGTGCGCGTGACCTGGCCTCTCGGCCAGTTTTCCCCATGGGATGAAATGAGCCATACCCCTTGTTCACATGAAACGAGCTCTGCAGCAGGCCAACGCCCGCCCACTGTAACCGTGCACGGCAGGGGCGTGACCCCTGTGTCCGAAGCACCCCAGTACCTGTCAGCCACATCTAGGTCAGAGTCCATCTTCTCCAGGCCCCTGGTGATGCTGTCTAGCTGCTCGCCCTGATGGTGGAGGACGCGGGCTGTCTCTTCCAGGCGCTTCTGGGAACAGGCCATCAGACCTGTCAGCTGCTTCCCCTTGGTCCCAGGCACCGGCACTTCTGCCGGAGACAGCAGCAACTCTCTCCAGAAATGCTCGATGATGCTGAAGACCACATTCCGGCTGGGCTGCAAGGAGCTGAACCAGTGCTTGACGTGGTCCTTCTCCAGAACAGTGATGGAACTGAAGACAAAGTGAGAAGCCTCCTTCTTGATCTCAATCACACTGGACAGGGGGAAGCTGACCAGGGCCTCCCCGGTTTTATCAGCTGCAAATCTCAGGGAGTGAGATGTTAACGAAAGCTTTCCAGAAACCCATCGCTTCTCCGGTTCTAAGTAGTAGGAGCAAGGCCAGGAGTGCACGCAGATCTCTCTGCTCATCTGGCTCCCAGGCTGGTCTGTCCCACGGCCACGGCCACAGCCACTCTGCCTCTGGAGGAGAGGGGCAGGTTAGTGGAGGGGTGAGGCGAGCATGTGTCAGCACACCTGGACCGCAGATAATAGGACAGCTTAGGGTGCTGAGGACACTGGGGACCCATACCACCCCGGTACAGGCAGGACGGAGGCCCACCCCACCCGAGCCAGGGTCCACGGCTTGATGTGACTGCCAGAACCTTCACAAGGACACCACTTCTGCTGTGACAACCCCACCAACACATACTCCTCACACGTTCCCACACTAACGATCTCCTTTTGAAGTCTTCATCATAAGGAAACCGTCCTGCGGGCAGACCTTTCTCTTCCTGCATTGCCCACAAATTTCATCACGTTCTGTGTCATCATCTAGCCCCAGGTATACATCTGTCTGTGTTTTGACACAACCATAAGCAGCGAAGGTGCACTGTTCACATCTACAGTTTGTGTTTGCTGACGAAGTCTGCAGTCAGGCACGACGGATGTGAGACAGCCCTTCCAGAGCACCGTGTGCGCCCTCTCACTGACCACAGAGTACCCACAAAGCCGGGAAGAAGGACAACCTCTGCAAGGTCACACCACAATTACATGATGAGGACCTGGCCACAGCTAGGCTTGGGAGTGCCTCATGCACCTCCCTCGTGGCCTGAGGTCCAGTTGTCTGGGGTCCGTCTTCCACCCGCCTGCCTCCTGCTGCCACGGGCACACACGGTTATGGAATGGTCTCACTTGTAAACATGGGAGAACAAGTCACTGTCGTCACCTCTTACGATACCGAGAAGCGTGGCCTTCACATTGTGGCCAGGGCCTCAGGGAGTCTCTGAATCCTGGCCGTGGGCTCTGGGCCCCACAGTCCCTGTGGAGCGGCAGGCCCCACAGAGCTGACACCGACATACATGGTCCCTAGCTGCTGCAGCTCAGCGTCCACAGAAACCCGATCGGCTCCTTCATGGAGTGACACTGTAGTAGGACCCAGACTGCTCTGTGAGGCCCCATCAGGCAACAAAGGATGGGCAAGATGAGCAAAGGGCTTGCGTCGCAGGGAGCTTCCTAATTACACAGAAGCAAGTGCTGGGGGAGTAGGCGATGCATCCACCAGACAGCAAGCCCCCCGGGGACCTCAAGAGGGCTCTGGGAGGGGCCAGTAAAGGCCCAACACCAAGTCACCTTCCAGAGAGCTCACACACGAGTCCTCCGAGCCTATGGGGCAGAGACACGGCGTGGCTGCCTCTCCTCTGGGACCTCGTCTCTCGCTGGACAGTGGGAACCAGAGCGCACACGTGTCCTGCTCAGACGTCTGTCCCCAGCAAGAGGGACATCCACCAGACTCTGGAACAAACACAGACCACAGGGTGCGGCCCGCCTGGGGGCCCATCAGCCCAGACCCGCGAGGTCCCCACCAGCACCCTGGTGCCGTGGGGCCGCTGCTGTCACGCGGACTGAAGGGGGTGGAAAGACCTCTATTCTCAGAACCTGGGGATACCAACCAGAGTTCTGGTGTTTCCCAGTCCAAGACCAAGGTCAGATGCCAGGTGCTGGGGCTCCACCCCAGACCATGCTGCCTGTGCCGGTCAGCACCTGGAGCCAGTCTGGCCCTGGTCCTCCTGGCCAAAGGGACCCTGCTGCCACTCAGCCCCCCGAGCACCACACACCATCTCCCACCCACAAAGAGGGAGGGCCTGTGTTGCTCAGCACTGTCCGTGTTGGCAGCTTGCTGCAGTGTGCACGCGGAGTCCCTCCCAACAAAAGCATGTATCCCGGACTCCTGAGCTCCAAGTCCAGCGATGGGGTAGGGCACTGCAGGGTCTGCAGCACACTCCTTCCCCTCTGGGCCTGTCTACCCTCCACTAAAATGACTGAAGACGGAGGGACAGCACCAGCTCTGAAATCCGCCAGAATTCAAAGACCAAGGACAAGGAGACAGGAATGAACCGTGAGCAGGAGGAACGGAGGACCCGTCACTATGTCCCCTGCTCCGTCCGAGCCACTCTTCAGACTGTGTACCGAGTGTGAGGGCTGCGTGTCCCCTGCTTTGCCCGGGCCACTCTTCAGACAGACTGTGCACCGCGTGTGAGTGCCGTGGGGACAGCAGTCAGGCCTGGTGACTCCAGGAAGAAGCACGGGGAGAAGCCATGGCCTGCGTGCTTTCTGCCACAGGCTTACAGACGAGTAAACAAGATGAAAGGGACGGCTGGGGCAAGAACAACAATCCTACGCCCTCGCTCTCCCTCAGCTGCAAGCTCACCTGCCACACCTACCCTGGGTGTTCTGCGGGTCCCCTGTTCCCCAGCACTGACAGGGGGAAGCAGCGCCCCTGCTCTTGTGCCCTCGATCCCATTCCACTCCTACAACGTCTACCTGTCCATCCTTCCTTCCCACACCTGGCCATACCACTTCTCCAAATGCCAGACAGTGAGTGCCTTAGGCTTTGTGAGCCCGCGGTCCCTGTGGCAAGAGCACAGCTCTGGCATCATCGTACAGTAGGAGCAGCCGGAGACGGCAGACACAGGGCTGTGTCTGTCCTCACTCACCACACAGGGGCCACCACGCTTGTCCTCCCTGTCCTAGACCCTCTCCCCAGTTAGCACAGACTCCCTAAGCTCTCCACCTTAGGGCAGATCAGAGGCCCCTCCCCACCTCCCCACAGCCCTCTCCAGTCACCGTTCCTCCCAGAGATGCCCACTGCAGCTCCCACCGCCAGGTACCTCCCCTCGGATGGGTTGCTCCGCCCAGGCCTCCCGGTGGCCAAATGTTCCGCCCACCTCTGTCTGACACAGCATGCTTCCTCCCTGGTCTCCCACCCCCAGCCCCGGCGCCTCCAGCGGCCCCCTCCCCTCTCCTGCCCATGGCCACCTCCAAGGGCTCCCTTTCCCTGGTAACAGACCCTCCGCCAACCATACGGCGCCTGCCAGAGCTCCCAGGAGCCTACACGCTGACAGGCCCTGTCCACACGCCGGACGAGGCTAACATGAGGAGGGTGCCATGGGCACAAGGCCAGCCCGTCATGGGCAGCAGGTAAACACATGGAAACAGCGACTGTATCCACCTCAACTGGCCTTCCTCCTCCCTCCTGCTGACCCGGGCGTCTGACCTATGCTATGCTCCCAGAGGCCTCGTCTCGTCCTCGCCTCTTCAGCCTGGAGCCCGTGTCACCCTGAGCTGACCCTGGGACGGAGCTGAATGAGGATGGAAGATCCCGGGACAGCACTGCAAGGACACTCGTGGCGAGGCGTGAGCAGGCATGTGAATGGGGCACGGCCCTCCGTACGATGCACTGTTGGATGTGGACATCGTTCAGCGCCGGTGCCCGGCCTGTGGCCTGGAGTGGGCCTCGGCACCGGGTAAACACCCTATATTTAGTCAGTTTCCAGAGGGACAGAACCAGTGACGTCTCACGCCTGTTCCAAGGCCTCCTGAGCACAAGGCGGTCTGGAGGCAGAACAGTGGCAGCAGTGTCTCCCGGCGTCTGCGGCCACCTTTTCCATTACCTCCACCTCCTGCTCCCACTCTCGACCTGGGAGGTTCACATGAGCTGCTGGGGGGTCTCAGGGCCACAACATGGCCTACTCCCATGGCGTGCACCATCCTTCTCACCCTCGGAAAGGAGAACAAGGACCTGTCCCTGCTTCTGCTGCGTTCTCGGCCACACGCTACCGTGACCGTCCCCTCCGGCTGTGGGCACAGCGCACGGCTGGGCCCCGTCAGGGCTCCCAGCAGCATCCTGCCCGCCCCCATGCTCTGACTCAGTAGGTCTGAGTGGGGCTCAAGAAAGGACGTCTCTCAGGGTTCCCAGAAGGTGCCAGGGGCCTTCGGGGACACAGCTGGCACCGCAGCCCGAGCTCCAGCACCAGAGGGCCACCGTGTGGACGAGAGGAAGCACAGCACGGAACACAGCGTCCCATGTCCCAGCCTGGCTCCTGGCTCAGCTGTGCCAGCAATCCTGGGGAGCACAAGGACCTCTGGCCCAAAGCCTCCCCCTCTGTAGGAAACTGGGTTTCAAGACCCGAGCTTCAGGGAGTCAGAATCCTGGGATTCTTTCCAGGAAACACCTATCTCAATTTCATATTTCTCCCGAGACACACACTTTCCTCACGTTTTCTCAACCTTCGGACAACGGCAAACACTGCTTCCCACACTCTTCCTGACTGCCTCCCAGGATCCGCATTCACAACCGCAATCCAAAAATCAAGGAGCATTCAGTCGATTTCCAGCAAGATGAGGACAGTGCGTGGTCACTTATTTTAAAAAAGCCTAGAAACAGTAGACGCTTACACACACACTTCAGAGACTGCTGTGTGTGTGTGTATGGGGTGGGGAGAGGAGGACAGACAGACTTCACACAGGAAGCAATGAAGGGATGCCTGTAAAGACAGCTGCATTTCAAAATGTGTTGAGGAGTCCAGCGTGCACGGGACCAGGGGGCTCCTGCCCACAGTGACCGGCCCGCACGTTCTCCCTGACTCCGTGCACACACTGGCCCCGGGAGGAGCCCCACACGTGCACCACACCAGGCACAGCGAGGCCACCAGGGCAGGCAGCTCCGCACACACGGGATCACGCACTCCGTGCTGCCCCGTCTGCCTGCCTCGCTGGTGTGCTCAGCTCTGCCCAGGACGCAGACGCTCCCAAACTCATTGCACTCCCAGCCCCCCTCCTCTGCCTTTCCTGATCTGCGGTCCACCCTGCTCTCCTTCAGGGTAAGCTTCAGGAAACGTGGCCAGGGTCCCCCTCCAGCCCCCACCAAAGCTCCGAGTCCCACCTGGGGAGACCTCCCTTCTCCCCTGCAAAGGTAACAGGGTGGCATCTTCCTCATTCGACAGAGGGGCGGCACCCACCCCGCCCACCCTGCCCTGTCACTCAGCGTGTCCAGGAATGACGTAGGACGGCACCCAGACTTCTCGAGGCATGGTCACCAAGTCAGAGCTGGAAATGCGCAGCTGCAGGGCTGAGTCAGGCCCCTCTCACCGCGTGCAAGACTGCCCAGGTGCACCTGCCCCTCCGTCACAGGGATGAGCGGCCCTGGTGGTTCCTTCCTTCGCCTGACCAGTTGGGAGACCAGGGAGGCTCTGCCCAGCCCTGTACCCTCTAGCGCCCGCTCCGCGTATGTGCCATCCGCAGGCTCCTGGAGCAAGGAGCCTGCGCTCTTCCCGTCCAGACTGGCGATCACACGTTTCCTCTAGCATGCTCAGACCCGGACCTGTCACCCCTCCACCCCCCACCTCCCCACCCCGCTTCCGTCCTGATGCGCAGCTTCAAACCCTCACTTTGCATTCCGCACACCGGCATTCCCTCACCACCCACTGCAGGACTCCACCACCCCTTGGACCCCAAGCATCTCCTACAGGTCTCCTACAATCCCCCCGGACCCCAATATCCCTCCAGGTCCCCTACTGTCCCCCCCGGACCCCAGCATCTCCTCAGGGCGCCCACGCCCCCTCCGGGCCCCCACCGTCCCCCTCTCGGCCCCCGGCACCTCCTCCGGGCCCCCAGCACCCCCTCCGGGCCCCCACCGTCTCCCCTCTCGGCCCCCGGCATCTCCTCAGGACCCCCACTGTCTCCCTCCGGGCCTCCAGCATCCTCCTCAGGGCCTCCACCGTCCCCCTCTCGGCTCCCACCGCCCCCTCCGGGCCCCCCCCCTCCCCCCCCCGCCCCCCCCCGTCCCCCCCCGGGCCCCCACCGCCCCGCGGACCCCACCTTTGGCCCCGGCGCCCCTCGGTCAGAACGGGAGCTCTTATCGCGGCAGCAGCAGCTGGCGGGACTAAGCCGGAGACGGCCGGAAGGAGTGCGGCCCAGGCCCGACCGCGGACTGGGGCGCGGCTTACCTGTGTCACCGCGAAGGTGCGCAGACGGCGAGACTCCGCTCCGGAGCTGTGGCACGCCGGACGGACCCCTAGCTCTACAGGCGCTGTGGGCCGCCGCCGCGCCTGCGCAAAACGGGGGCCGTAGGCTGCTCTGCGCGTGCGCCCAGGGTCTGGCGCACCGAGGTTCGTCCTCGGGCAGGAACTGTGGCAGCGTTCTCTTGATTCCGCTTGCCGGCGCCGGGCCGACCTCAGTCTCCGAGAGTCTGTGCCGCGCGGTTTTCGCCCCGGCTGGCACGGAGGCGTCTGCTCCGGAAGTAGTTGTAGCGAGTACTTCCGCGTCGCCTCCCGGTTTAAAGGGCCGGGCAGCCGGCGGCCTGAGGCGGAGCCGGACAGGGCCCGGCCGGGCAGGGGATGGACCGGGAGACGCGCGCGTTCGCCGAGAGCCACTTCCGACGCCTGCGGGGGCAACCGGCGGGCGGGGCAGGCGCGTCCCCGGGCCGCGTGGACTTCATCGCGAGCCCCGCCTCCTTCTCGTACGCTGACTTCTTCAAGCGCTACCTGCTCCCCAACGTGCCGTGCGTCTTCTCCGGCGCCTTCACCGAGGGCTGGGGCGGCCGGCGGCGCTGGGTGACGCCGGGCGGGCGGCCGGACTTCCAGCACCTGCTACGGACCTACGGTGCAGGCCCGGGCCAGGGGCTCGGGGCGGGGGGCGCGAGGCTCGGGCGGGCGCGGGGCTCGGGCGTCACCGCCTGTCGGTGTCGCAGGGGACGCCGTGGTGCCGGTGGCCGACTGCGGGCGGCAGGAGTACAACGCGCACCCCAAGGAGCATATGCTGCTGCGCGACTACTTGCGCTACTGGACGGAGCACATCGAGAGCGGCTACTCGTCCCCGCGGGGCTGCCTGTACCTCAAGGACTGGCACCTGTGCAGGTGAGGGGTGCGGGGGTCGTGTCCCACGCCCGACCCAGGTGGCTGGTCCTTCCCCTGCGTGCACCTCGGGCTCCGCCCCCCATGGGGCTGGCCACGCTGCGTCGGGGCTGGTGGGGAGTCCAGGTGGGCTGAGGCCGGTGCCTCCCTCGTGTCCTGGTGGCTGGAGCCACCCGTGCAAGCCTTACCCCTCCGGGGGCCGCACTGGGCTCGGCCCTTCCGGGCAGCCGTGCCGCTGGTACCGCTGGGCCGGGTCTGGCTTACGCTGGCTCCCGCCACCCCCTCCCGTCTTGCACCGTCTTGCTCCCCTGTCTCGGTTCAGCAAGGCAGGGCCCGGCCGCACAGCGTCTTCCTCACCCGCTAGCAGAGACCTGAGGTCCGGCCACAGCCTTCTTCCCTGCGGGGAGCTACCACCGGTGCTCTGGGACAGAGCTCACGCTGGTGGGGGCCCCACCCCATCCACATCCGTGCTCGGAGGGGCTGCTTGGGATTCGTGCCCATTCCCCACCCAGCGGTGTGCTGGCACAAGCAGAGACCGTCTTCCTCACCCCAGCAGCTGTCACAGATGCGGTACCGGCTCAGTTCTGTATGAGCGGGTCAGTGATTGAATTCTGGTTTTCCTAACGTGAAAACCAAGGCTCCTTGCGGTTCCCAAGACCCGTGCAAAGATGCATCTCGACCCGTCGTGCCCTGGATGCTCCCTGCCTTGCTGCCTCTTGTCTGGCAGGGAGAGCTGGCCAGGGGGTGGATCAGGGACACCAAGGCCCTGGCCGAGGCCCCCAGGGACTCCTGACCCAGGGGCACCTAGGACTCCTGGACTCTGTGCTCCTGCACGGTGGCTGTGGGCTTCGGTTAGGCAGTAAGTGAGTTCTAGGTATTAGACTTGCCTGTTGCTGGGAGGTCAGTTTGGACTGAATATCACGTATTTTCTCTGGAAATCCTGGAATAAGCAGTAGAGGGAGGTCAGGAAGACAGAGGTGGCCCAAGGGCACATGATACCTGAGCAAGGTTTTGAGGGCTCCATGGGAGTCTGACGGTCGCAAAGGCATGGCGGCAGAGGGAACAAGTGGTTGGGTGCTCTGTGGGCTCTCCCTGATCGTGGTCTCCGACCTTGAGTGATGTGTGAGCTAGTCTGGAAGCTTGCTCCGTGTGTTGCTGGGAGAGGTGCACTCTGCCTGGGGCTGGGTTGGTGACTCCCCTTGGAGGGACCGTTGTTTTGGTGGAGGGGCAGGCTTTTGGACCAGGAGGAGTGGGCGGCGGCGGGGTAGGGGAGAGGGACCTCAGCGACACGGGCCAGTGGTCGTGCATTTGCTCTGCGGACTCGAGGTCACAGGCGGGGCGAGAGCATGGGTGAGGCCCAGGGGTCCTGGAGAGCAGCGGGATGCAGATGAGGTACGTAGAGCCCAGAGGTCCTGGACGTGGTCCAAGAGGGGGCTGGAACAAGTGCGGGGCTGCCTGCGTGGGTCACCTAAGCGGCATCACGGCCCCCAGTGCTGTTTCACCTGCTCATGATGGGGCTTCGTTCCCAGGATGGCGCTCAGGTGCGGTCACTTGGGGCTGTGGTCACATGGTGGCTGGACGGGCGCAGGTGATCAGCCTTAGGGTGGACCCTGGTTGCAGAAGGCGGCTCAGGGTCCTTGGTGCCTGTCCAGACCTCTGGCTGTCCCACGGGCTTGTGGCACAGGTGCCAGGAGGGGGCCCTTCCTGCCAGAGGCTCATGGCACTCCCTGCAGGGACTCCTCAGCGGAGGACGTGTTCACCCTGCCCGTGTACTTCTCGTCTGACTGGCTCAACGAGTACTGGGACGCCCTAGACGTGGACGACTACCGCTTTGTCTACATGGGGCCTGCTGGCTCCTGGTACGTGTGTCCTCTCCCGATCCCCTTTCTGCGCCTCGCCCGTGCCCCCCCACTCTCCCCCACCCTGTCTGCTCCGCCAGGGCCTCAGAGATGCCTGGGCCGTGGGCGGCTGCCCGAGGTCCCTAGTCTCCGTGCGCACTTTGCCCTGGGCTCTCAGACGGGGCAGGTGTGAGCTCGGGGGCCTGTGTCCGCGGCCGTCTTCCTGAAGAACCAGAGCAGCTGTGGTTCCCCAGATGCCAACAGGAGGTTCCGCAGGTCGCCGTTCCATGCCGACATCTTCCGCTCCTTCAGCTGGTCTGCCAACATCTGTGGGAGGAAAAAGTGGCTCTTCTTCCCTCCGGGGCAGGAAGAAGCCCTGCGGGATTGTCACGGCGGCCTGCCCTATGACGTGACCTCGCCCGCACTCCTCGACAGCCACTTGTACCCCAGGCGCGGGCACTGCAGCCCGGCCCTGGAGCTCACGCAGGAGGCAGGCGAGATGGTCTTTGTGCCCAGTGGCTGGCACCACCAAGTCCACAACCTGGTAGGGTGGGCACACCCCACAGCGTGTACACACCCCACCGCGTGCGCCTGCGACATGGCCCAAACAGGTCGGCGGCCACCCTGGGGCCCCGGAGGACCCATCTCTCCATTCATCTGTCCCTCAGCCTGCCTGGCAGCGCTGCTCACCCTTGACACGTTCCTAGATGCCTTCCACAGAGAGAGGGCCGGGGTGCCCCTCCTGATCCCACAGTGGGCCGACTGCCCCCTGGGAGGGTCTGGGCACGGGTCTGCACAGACGCCAGAGAGGGGCCGCCAGCCCCTCTTTCTTCCCCACCCCCGTCCTTGTTCCCTGGGCCGTGGGTCCCTATATACCCGGAGTTTCCCCGGCTCCCAGGGGAGCCCCGCTCCTGGTTAGCTGTGTACTCAGAAGACAGCTCCTGTCTCCTGGGAGATAGGAGCAGCCCTTCCCTGCTGAGGGGACTGCGGGGACCTCGGGACAGGGGCTGGGGACCGTCTGCCGTGGGCTCGTGGGGACACCTCGCCCCACCCCATACAGGAGGACACCATCTCCATCAACCACAACTGGGTCAATGGCTGTAACCTGGCCAACATGTGGCACTTCCTGCAGCAAGAGCTCCGGGCCGTGCAGCAGGAGGTCAGCCAGTGGAAGGAAACTATGCCAGACTGGCACCGTCATTGCCAGGTAGGCTAGCCAGGGTGGGAGGGGAGGAATGGGAGGGGAGGGGGCTCTGCAGGGCCCTGGCAGGGCCAGGGCTGGGGCTGCCGGGGCTGACCGGTGGGGCTCACTGCGAATAGGTCTGCAGTGGTGGAGGGCCTGGGGCAGCCGGCATTCTCAGAGCAGGGCTTGGTCTGTGAGGCCAGAGCTGCGGTCTTGGGGACACGGTAGCTGCTCTCCTGCCTGTGAAGGTCAGTCCGATCCTGAGGCGGGATGCTGGGGCTTCCAGGCTGCAAGACTCAGACCCATCTCCGGCTGGCTCCCAGGAAGCTCTGGGCCCTGCCCATCATCCATAGACCCTTGTCTAGAGCTGTGGGCAAGCTGCGACTCACAGCTGCTCTTCTCTGGCCAGGTCATCATGAGGTCCTGCACTGGAATCAACTTTGAAGAATTTTACCACTTTCTCAAGGTCATCGCTGAACGGAGGCTCCTCCTCCTGGGGGAAGGGACGGACTCTGGTGCCGTGGAGGGCGGTGCAGGCTCCGGGCTGGGCCCCCATCAGGCTGCGTTTGATGTCAGCCGGATCACAGAGGTGCTGGCATCTGTGGTGGCCCACCCTGACTTCCAGAAAGTGGACACTGGCATGTTCTCCCCACAGCCGGAGGAGCTCCTGCAGCAGCTGGAGGAGGTCGTGGCCAGCACTGTGTCTCTCTAGTGCATGAGGCTTGGCCTGGAAGGCAGGCCGTCTGTCCCACAGTCTCTTCCGGAAATAAAGTTTTGTGTACTGTGTGCCATGGGACCTGTCACCTTCCCGTGCAGCCTCGTGGCCTCAGGTGTCCCAGCTGTGGCTCCTGCTCTTAAGGGTGTGCTCTTTTCCTGGCTGTCTGTTGGCATCCTGGGACCCTGGTGCCTGTGCAGAGGGCTTGGGCCCCTTGTCTTCATGATGCTCGGCAGGGCCGAGTGCTCTGGATCCAGTGAGGGGTGGGTGTGGAGGCCCTGCAAAGTGAGATCTATGGCCAGGAGGCCCCAAGAGTGCCTGGGGACCCATGCGTCAGGGCAGCATG